GTACTTACGGGTCTCATACCCATTTGTGAGGTACGAGAATGTGGTCATACTACTATTTATCTCCTATTGGTGTGCTTACAAAATCACGCCCGGGCGGCTCTCTAAAACGTGGACGTATACATCACCTCTCTTACCCCCGCCACTCGAGTATCAACCAACACATTAAATTTAGGGAACTTGAGTATATACGTTTATGCCAGGTACTGGAGGATGTTGCTGCAGCCCCTTAAAGTTCCACATTATCCGTGGTGGACATCCGAGCAGCCTTTCGCCTTATTCGGCTACGGGAGGAAGATGTAAATTTAGGGAACTTGAGTATATACATTTACGCCAGGTACTGGGGGATGTTGCTGCAGCCCCCCAAGGTTCCACATTATCCGTGGTGGACATCCGAGCAGCCTTTTGCCTTATCCGGCTACGGGAGGAAGATGTGCCACTGGTCGGCTTTGTCTTTGACGGAGCAGTATACCTTGCCGTTTGGCTTGTGCAGTGGCCCCTAGATATTCTAAAGACTGGGCGCAGCGCTGGATTACATATTTTTGAAGACAGATTCGAATTTACGCCGATTTGTCGACGATTTTCTAGCTATCTATTCCCCACACCAAGGGGAAGGTCAGTCAGCTAAGATTTGAGAACAATTTGCACACCTACACATAACCATTGCCTGTAAAACGTCCGCTACTAACGCAACCGCCGTTGAATACATATGTGTTTTAATTGACATACTCACTCGTAACGTCAGCTTATCCTCCCAGCTGTCATGGCGTAGCCGCACCACAGCTACGGCTCACGACATCGCATCTCTCGGTGGGAAACTGATTGGCTCTGTGCAATAATCCCACAAGCCCGGCCATACACCTCACGGGTATTCTGGCTACTACGAAAGGAGCCTGCCACTCATAAACATTTTCGCATGTCCTAGGCGGTGCGCCAGGACATTCGCTCCTCGCTGCGGATATCCAATTAATGGTCGGGTACATCACTGACTCAACGCCCAATACTGCCGAATATAACAGTCACCGTAGACACTTGCATATCGGTCGGTGGCGGGTGTTCTATATCGTCCGGAGAGTGGTATTTTATAAAGTGGAAACCCCACCACCATCACATGCTGAATTCAGGTGACAAGCTATTCTCAATCACATCACTCGAACTATTGGCAATTGTATATATGGCAGACATATTTGGCGCAAGATGGAGGGGACACACTCACACAGTTAGCATACTATCTGACAACCTTGGTGCGGTCTTTGCGATCAAGACCCGCACTAGCCCTATACCCAAAATGTTGACTTTGCTGTGTATCTGACGATAACCGAAATCTACTATTATATAGCAATCACATGCGCACACATACCTGGGGTAGATAATACCATAGCGGACGCGATTTCCCACAACAAAATGAATGAAGCACGCCTACTATTTCCTAATTTGTACCGGATACCGACCGCACTCTCTCCTAGAGCACACGAACAAGAACAACGTTTGCAGATCGCCTTTTTTAGCCACTTGTATATACACAATACAAATTGTAGATATTGTTTTATTCCGCTTACGCGCATATACAACTCTAACGTACTGCTATTTTGTTCTTTGCCCCTCCCTATGCATAGGACGACAGAGTTCACTGCCCTTCACTTCAGACTTAACCTCGACAGCTTCCTTTCACTCCGACGTCACGGGCAACTCGCTCCACAATTTTCTTCGTGAAGCATTCCAGTTAGGATCAGCCCCAAGAACTTGCTCCAACAGCAGCACAGCTCAACGTCAATTTTTGGATCTCGCTGCTCACGAAGGTCTGATTGCCCCCGACACAATACTCGCAGGAAACTTACCAGATGGCGAAGACATTTGGCTTCAATATGTCGGCTGGTTAGGTATTAGGAGTCACCAACCGGACTCCACTGCGTCTTATCTGCTAGGCGTGCGCCGCATGTACAAACTATCGGGGTCCGACTATTCTGCTTCACAAATACCCGCACTTACGCTTCTGCGCGGGGCTTGCTTCGTGTGAAACACAAACGCGAAGGCATTACACCACGAATGCTCCTCACTAATTTTCGTCCCAATATCAAACGATATTCCAATGACCTGGAATGGATGCGTGTATGGGTCGTGGTATTACTCGGTGTCTTCTTTCTATTTCGCAGTGGTAAATTAACTATACACCCACTCTCGAGCCATACTCAAATTTCTACACGTTCACCGGGGCGGCGTTCGTGTACACTCGGATCATATTCCCATACTGCTTCCTTCAACCAAGACACAGCAGTGTTGCCCGACAACATTAGGCGTGCAAAAGCTTCCTCAGATCTACTCTGAGATTTGCCCTTACATACATCTGCTATTCTAGCTGGCGCTTTCCAATCAGGAGCCGGCCGACAACCACCTATTCTCACTACAGGGGAAGGCCCTTAGCAAAGCAACATGGTCAATTTTTTTCAAACACCTCGTAAAGGCAACAGGCCTGGACACCTGTCACTTCTCAGGCCACTCACTACGGATCGGCGGCTTATCAGCGCTAAAAGAAGCCGGACTGAGTGACGAGGAAGCTAAGATTCTGGGTCGGTGGACGTCGGACACTCCTCTTGCGTACTGGCGCCTCTCGGCAATCGATCACGCACGCATCGCTCACCAATACATATGTACCCTCGCATCAGCATTCGCCAGCAAGCTAGACTAATAAGTGATCTCGTCGGAGCGATCTCGCGTTTCACGCTCAATCTGAACTCTTCGATCCTTTGGAATTGCTCGAAGCACTATTCGGATAACGTCGTTCGCGGGGGCGTCTGTCCGAGCTTATGTGAACAAGGGGATGACAGCGCGTCACTCTACCATGTGCGCCCGCACCACATAAGCCTCACACCAAAAACCAAAGGATTTCAATACCCTTTTTTTGGAAATAGAACAAGAAGGGTATGATTTAAAATACGTAAACACACTGAGCTATGGACTGTGTGCTCACTCCTGTGCTGTGTTCTGTGTATTCACTTATAGTATGTATCTATTTCATGTCTTGAAAAGACGACATCATAGTGCACATTTATGATGCCAGCTACAAGCACTATATAGTCTGTGTTATCTGAGCTATCAAACGTACTCGTTGACTCGAACAGGCTCAGTAATAAATTAAATATCAAAATCCACGGTACTGTACGTGTATTTACGTACTGCTTTGGGGAAGTCAACGGCTATATCTGACTCTAACCTTTTGCGTTGAAATTGGACGTTTATAGATGTGTATGTGTACTGAGCTATTCACAGTACCATCGAGATTTCAACTCTGGGCGTATTTCTTCCATATCATCTCTATAAAAAAGGTACTACAACGCTGAATATATCACATCTAAATAAAAGAGGTGCTGCGACGCAAAGCAGTATATAGTTTTGTTAGTGTCACGCACCACCGAATACTATGGTCACAGTGTCTTATGACTCCCACAAGTTGCTAATCTCTAATAAGCTCGTGGAATACTTCTTGAAAGCAATATAGTATGTTTGCAATGCTCGTGTTTATCACACGTGCACTAAGTCATTTGGGGGGTTTATCTGACTTTCATTAATCGGTTTGTATCCCGTCTATAGTATTACAAAATGAAGATCCCGTACATCGAGCTGAAAAACTGCAACGTCTAGAAGTACTTTTGCACCAATAACCAAACTCTGAAGTCTCTGCCAACTGCGACGTTTCCCCTCGTATCTGTATGCGGTTTTTCCACTCTCCTCTTTGCATTCTGGAATATAGAGAGTGCTTGCTGTGGTACTTGTAGTTTATTCATCTCTTATTGCAGATTGCAATGTCTACACGTAACAATGTACAGTGGTACTCTGATATGTTGCTGTATCTTCTATACTTCGTAGAGGGCTGCAATCATCGACTGATTTGATGGTATATTTTGAGACCTTGATCATAAAGATGAAATTGCCTCGAACAGAGAGCGCATATGCGTGCTTGCATAGTGTGTGCAAACTATATGACTAAACATTTGAAGGAGATATATGCCAATAATCTCGTTTAATATGCTGATATA